GCAGCAGCAGCAGCAGCAGGGCCTGCTGCTGCTGCTGCTGCTGCTGCTGCTGCTGCGACTGAGGCCTTAAGAGAAGACAGCGGCAATTCAAATAAATCGCCGCACGGGCATGGATAAAGAAATTGATTGTCTACAGCATCAAACTCTAACTCTGTTAGCTGCACCTCTTCGTATGCAGCGCCTTCTTCTTCTGCTTCTGCTTTTGCTGCTGCTGCAGCTGTTGCTGCTGATCCTTCTGCTGCTGGATTTGCTGCTTCTGCTGATCGTTCTGCTGCTGATTTTGCTGCGATTGCTTCTGCTGCTGCTGCTGCTGCTGATCCCTCTGGCGCTGCACCAGCTGCTTCTTTCAACGATGCAGCTACTGGAGCCGCTTCTGTTGGAGGCGAGGCAGCGGCAGTTGCTGCCGGTGCTGCTGCTGCTGCTGGTGCTGCTTCAGCTGCTGCTGCTGCAGGAAGCACGTCTGCTGCTGCAGCTGCTGGCGATGAGGTGTATGAAGAGGGGCCCCTAATAGGCACAGGCGGCCGGATACTAAAGAAGTGGAAAGAAGAGGAAGGCGGCACCAAATAGCTGAAATTTGCTGTTGAAGCGATACCGCTGCTGCTGCTGCTGCTGCTGCCGCTGCTGCTGCTGCTGTCAGCTTCTACTGTGGCAGTGGCCGTAGCGGAGGCTGCGCTCCGCTGCATGCTGCTTTTTTCTTTGAAGTTGTTTTTGCTGTCTCCGCTACCCTGCTCATTAAAGAATGAACAAGTAGTTTATTAATATAAAAGTTAATCTATTGGAGTGTAATTAGCACAAATAGATGAAATGACCGGTCTACGTTGTTCTGCTAGTGGCGAGGAGGGGGGTGTAATAGAGGGAATAATAGAAAGCTGAGCTCCTATTTCGTCTCAGCTGAACATTAAAAGTATTTTTATACATGTAAAATTGATTAAAACAATCAGAAGGCAAATAATAAGGAAGGAAACCAGAGGTTTCTTCTGCAAGGAGAGTATAGCGGCTTCTACAGGTGGGGGCTGCAGCCAGAGCATGGGGAGGGAAAGCAAGAGGCTTCATGCGCACTAAGCTGGTAATGAAGGAGATTGAATGTTATTTTATGAAATAAACCGCAGGATAATTGAAAAGACTGCCGTTTCAGGAGTGGATCGCTCACCTCCTTTGTTCATCTTCTTGTTGTTCAACTTGAGGTGCCTATACACCCCAACTGGGCACCCCAGCACCCCACCACCCCTTGCGTGTAGGGTGTAGTAATCAGCATCAAACAGTTGTATTTTCTTCTTTATTTTTGCTTTATTTCTTTTTAAAATGTCGGAAGAAAAGAAAGATGGTGAAAATGCAGAGAAGGAGCACATGCAGCTTAAGGTTCGCTCGCCGGTAAGCTGTTTGATTTCATTTGGCGTCTCATCATCCATTTGCTGAAGTCTTTTTGTTTTTTCTCCTTTTTTAAACGAGTAGAATGCATTCATTTGTACAAAAATAGCAATAAAACTTAATCATACTGCTTAGTTGAGCTGTCAGTCGTGCTATCTTCCCGCGCTAAGGAGCTCTTTGCCTACCCTGGGGGAGTTGTTTAAAGTTGCTGTCTTTAGTTTGCACCGGAGGGAATAAATGCCTTCGTTTTATTCCTTTAACAACAAGCTTAGACCCAGCTTGCATGCGGCATAATATATATATATATATATATATATATATATATATACTATGTCTATATTTGTGTATTGTAGTTGTAGTTAAGGTGTATAGACATTTATTTTGTATGTATTTTTTTCGTGATTTTTTCTGTATTTTCAGGACGGGAGCGAAGTCTATTTCAAGATAAAGCGGCGCACAAAGCTTGAGAAGCTGATGACAGCATATTGCAATAGACTAGGTCAGTCTATTGATTCTGTTCGTTTTCTTTATGATGGTGAGCGTGTAAAGCCAGAGAAGACCCCGATGGATTTAGGAATAGAAGATGGAGATGTTATTGATGCAATGGTGCAGCAAACGGGTGGCGGAGAAGATGCCTGAAGTAGCACCAGCAGCAGCAGCAACAGCAGCAGCAGCAGCAGCAGCTGCAGCTGCAGCAGCTGCTGTGGGAGCTGCTTTCATTCGTGATAGGGTTGACGCTCTTTTCGGTGCTTCGGGGGGACTTGTCGCTGCAGCTAGCCATCAACTAGCTGCTTCCCTTCCAGCTTGAATCAGCTAGCTAGCTAGCTAGCTGGCTAGCTGGTTGGGATGGGGGGAGGTGGTTGGTCAGGCTAGCTGTAGCTCAGACGTAGCTAGCCAGTTAGCTAGCTAGCTAGCGAGCTGTACCTCTTAGCTAGCTAGCTGTAGGTGCTAGCTAGCTAGCTCTACCTCATAGCTAGCTAGCTAGCTGTAGCTAGCGGTTGAGGCAGGAGTAAGTGATGAGTTAAGAACAAAAGATATATCTTTATTGTGTTTTGTCTGTTTGCTGTTATTAACAACAAATACATCAACAAATTAATTCGTTTCCCCGCTTCTCTTCAGCGCCCTTGAGGTGTATGTACACCTAAATAAAATTATATAATAAACTGCTGTGGAAGCTTTCAGTACAAGAAACGCATTAAATACAAACAGCAACTGCTGCTGTAGCAGCAGCACCAGCAACCGCAGAGCAGCAGCAGCTGCTGCAGCAGCAACAACTGTAGCAGCAGCAACTGTAGCAGCAGCAACTGTAGCAGCAGCAACTGTAGCAGCAATAACTGTAGCAGTAGCAACTGTAGCAGCAACAGCAGCAGCAGCTGCTGCTGCTGAGTTTTTCTGGTGCTGTTGTTGCGCTGCTGTTTGAACCCTAAACCCTAATTCAAATTCACAAACCCTAAACCCTAAATGAGATTCAAAACCCTAAACCCTTCAATCAAACCCTAAACTTCAATAATGAAGTATTACTAAACCCTCATATCAAACCCTAAACCCTAACTAAACCCTAAATAATTTATTTAATCGAGAGGAGTTAAAAAGAAGACAGCGAAGTAAAAAGAAGAAAATAGCAAACAAAAAGAATTACGTTATTTCAATTGGCTGTTCTACAGACACCTGAACCACCATATATATATATATATATATATATATTAGATTATATAATATATATCA